AGGGAGGGACACCTGGATGTAAGGATGGATGGGTGACTGGCTTACATACTATCTGGGAAGACGGATGGATGGACAGGTGAACAGACAGACATTCAAACGCATGAAGTGTGTAAGCAATAGTGATGTTTGGTAAAGCATACAGAAGACCAAGACACGCATGTCTTCTAGAGAAGCTGACAAGTACAGAGACCAAGAGCACGAGCTCTGGAGGCAGGCGAGCCTGCATTCAAACCACCACAGCCCGCTTCCTAGCTGGGAAGTCTCTCCACCTGAGCTCCAGCTTTCCCACTGCTACGCTGGTCTTAATGATACCCACTTCAGAGAGTGCTGAGAAGATTAAATGGACGACACACGCAAAGCCCAGAGTTTAGTGAGTACTCAGAAGATGGAAGCTCTCGTCATGCTCTTACTCAAATAAGTGCCTAATATCTATTGAGTAGTTGGACAGATGGATGGTGGGATGGATGGATGGATGAATGGACAGATGGGTGGATGGATGGGTAGACAGATGGGTGGACAGATGGGTGGACGGATGGACAGATGGACGAATGGGCAGATGGACGGATGGATGGATGGATGCATGGATGGATGCATGCATGGATGGATGAGGTATTTTCTTTCAAATCATGTGTGATGAGTGTGGCTCTACCGCTTACTGGTTGTGTGACCCTGACCACATCATCTAACCTCTCTGAGCTACGGTCGCTTAGGTTCTCTGATGATCAAAATGAGACTCTTAGTGCCCATAATACCAACCACTCTAGGGTATTAGGAAAAAGAACTGAAACTGCTCTGTAAGCTGAAACACAATAGGCAAAGGTTCACGATTATTATACAAAGAAGTAACAGAACAGGGATCCTTCTGTGAGTTACTCGGACTCCCCCAAAACTGGGGAGTTTGAGATATGTACTGAGTTCTGTTTCATCTGTAAATAAGATGGACACAATAAAATCAGACAGCCGATGTGGGCCACCTGATGCCCTCTGCCTCTCTAGGGGTCAGAAGACCTGGGGTCAGAAGTCACCCACAGAACTGGCCAGATCAGAGCAGGGGCGCAAACAAGGCTGAGGTCGGAGCTGGCTTTTCTGCCCTGTCCCCTGACCAGCTCGATCACAATGACCTTGACTAGGAAGAGGTCACAATCAGAAAGCAGAAAAGTTCAATGCAGCCCATTCCACAACTGGAAAAAAATAATAACAGCCACTGAGCACGGGTGGTAACCAGCAGGTATTATTAACATATGAGGATCGGGCTCCTGCTTACATCTGGGTCAGCTGCTTCTAAGGAGGTCCCTCTGCAGACTCCTTGGTCACTTCCTTTGGCAAAAATCCACCCACCGAGAGCTGGCCTCTCAAGATCTCTGAAGGAGGAACTCCACCAGTTCTCTGACAGCTGGGCAGGGTGCAAGGAGCCCGCTCCAAGGACAGGACAAACACTTCCCCAGATCTCTGCAGCCCAGTGCCCCACAGCCACACAACACACAGCCAAGCAGCGGTGTGCAAAACATGCAGCCACTGCAGTGCCAGGCACAGGAGCAGGTGTGTCCCAAGAAGCTCAAGAGGGCGAAGCACTGCAGGCAGGGCTCAGGGGGGTTCCCTGGCAGAGGTCGGTGGCAGGGGAAGGGCCCCTCCACAATCCCCTGTTCTCCTGGAGCCTGCTGTTCAGGAAGCAGGAGGGCCTTGGCCCATGGCCAGAGAAAAAGTCTTCGTGGTTAGAAATTCAAAGAACTCTGCTGTGTTGTTTGTCTGCTGAGGAAAGTCCAAAGCCCCGGCCTCAGGGTGCGAGGGGACATGAGCTCATGGCAGCAGCCAGAGACCCTGGGGCCAAGACCTGGTGAGGGCCAGCCCAGCACTCTCAGAGTGCTCTGTGGGCCCCTGGCATCCCTGGGGGCAGGGTGCTGGTTAAAAGGCACACTGCCCTGCCACCCCAAACCCTGAACGAGAGTCCCTGAGCAGGGTGAGGCCCTGGCATGTGTGAGTTCAACCAGCTACCACGTGATCCTGATGCTGAGGGCCACCACCAGAGAGCCCTGATTCAGTGTCCCCATACCTCTTGCCCTCTGAGAGGTGCCTGTGGTACCCTCCCAGTCCCCAGCAAGAAGGCAGGGGCTGGGAAAGTGGCTGTAGGGGATTAGGAGGGACAGCCAGAGGCTGAAAACAAGGGCTTGCCCAGGCATCGAGCCCACTTGCTCCCAAGACCCAGAGCAGAGCTGAGAAGTACCCATCCTGCCTTCCTACAGACAGGCTGCCCAGGGGGTGTGGTGGCTTCATGACTAAAGCCCCTCTTCTCTCCTAAAACAGCGCAAGCTGCCCCATCTGAGGACAGGAGCAGGGATTGCCTGTTCCTGGGCTTTTGCCTGGGCCATTCCTTTGGCCTAGATACCTTTCCATCTCCTCTGGCTTCTGCACCCCAGCTCCCAGCTCATCTCTCTTGGAAGCCTCCTCTTACCAACCCCATCAGATGGCACCCACGTCAGGCAGACAGCCTTAGGTACAAGGGCTCATGTTTACCAAAAGGCATTTTGTCTCATTTTTGGCAAATTGTTTCACATTCAGTATCTCTTAGACCACAAAGGTTGCCCAAGCCTATTTGGGTCTTCCTGTCCCCATGTACCCCAGCCATACCCTAAGACATGGACTGAGCACACAGTAGGTATCATAGATGCTGACTTTTTTGCTAGCAAGAAGTCAAGGCCATTTTCCGTGGCTCAGCCCATGGGGGCCCAGCCATGAGAAGGCCAGGGTTCAGGAGAGGCCCTCGCAGCTCCCAGGTTTCCTGGGGATTTGGGGGGCCCTTCTTGATCTGAGGAAAGTCTGTCTGAAGACTCTTTGGCCAGCACTCCTCTCCCAGAGGGGATCCCCAAACTTACAAAGGAGCAGGAAGTGCTAGGAAAGAATTGGAGGCGCCCACAATCCCAGCCTAGGTCTGGGACCCCCTGACTCGTCCCTGCCTGGCCTTCAGGCAGGACTGGCCAACATGTTGAGCTAGCCTGAGAGGGACCCAGTCTACCTGTGGTCAGGCAGGGCCAGCCTGTAAGAAACTGCTCCCACTACATCCCAGATCTCAGCATGGATAGAATCTGCCTTCTAGAGGCTTCTGAAGAATAAATGGGAGAAGTCACGGGAAAGGAGGAACCAGACGATCCACCCTTCTCTCAGCCTCTGACTCCCTCCTGAAATCAGCAGAATGAATCCTGTTCCAGGCAGAAACATCAGAGGAAACCAATGCCTGGATGGCACTTGGAAAGGCCACGGGAAGGAGCCTCTGGCAGCTCTGTCTTAGCCACAGCAGCCCCCATTTGTTCCCCTCCCCAGGCAGGGGTCTGTGTGGGTCTCGGATTGATTGGTCTGAGAACACAGACCAACACAGTGCAGGAAGATGAAAATGACTTGATCCAAGTGCCAAATCTAATCAGCTGGTTGGGCTGCCTGGAGCACTGTGCTGAGGAGGATTCTGAGGCCAGATGTGAGCCCACGAGCATCATGATCAATGTGGGATCTGCCATAGACGTGGGGTGGGAGGGCACCTGTGCCAGGTATGAACCAAGCCCACCCCAGGTTTAGGGCTCCCCGCAGCCAAAGATCAATGCCGGCAGGTCATCTGTGTCAGGGCACCTGGGCCACTTCCTCCCGCACGCGTTCCTGGGAATCATTGTTTAGGTAAGAGTTTCAGGCCTGGCTCTCACCACCTTCATTACCCCTCCCTGAGGGGGTCTCGGGGCCCTGGCTGGCGTGAGAGACACTCCCACCTTCTCACCTTGGGCTGGAAGGACACTCGGTGCTTGGCGGGCTCTGCCTCCGGCTTGGCCTCCTCCTCTGAGTCTTCGCTGTAGCTCTCAAACTCACTGGAGCTCCAGCCTAGGTCCTCCACCTCCCTGGGCGCCCCGTCGCGGGGCGCATCCTCATACAGCAGGCTCCTCTCCGCCCCTGCGGGCCAAGCCATGGGGCAGTGAGCAGAGGCCCGGGCCAAGCCACCAGACCCAATTCCAGGTGCACGGGGGAAGGGGGGGACAGGTAAGCGCGCAGGTGGCTGGCTCTGGGGCTCCGCCTCCGCTTCCTTGTCCATAAAACAGAAGTGATGAGACACAAAAGCCACCCGGTAAAGTGAGGAGGACATGAGAAAACGTATAAAAGCACAAGAAATGTGTCAGGCGCATGACAGGCTCAATTATTTCCTCCCATTGTCAGCATTACTTTTCTGGGATCTGAGTGCTCATCCTGGGCCTCCTAGGCATTTTTTAGTAGAAAAGAGAAGACATGGACCGAGTGCTCTGGCCTCAGCATCCTGGGGGTCGGGCATTAAATGAGTCAGCATCCCTCACCCCAAACCTGAGTTTCCCATGTGGCTTCAGGATCATCCAGTAGGGGGCACCCCCGGTCCAATGTCCAGGAGCGGTCCCTTTTCTTGCAAGGCCCCACAGGAAATGTCTTGAACCGAAAACTTGGGGACAAAGGCCTGAGAGTCCACTAGCCACAGGGCCACCAGGGCCTGAGCACTCTTGGGGTCTCAGCTGAGTTGGGTGGGAGATGCTGCTTCCAGGCTGAGGTGGAAGCCACTGTCCTGGGACTAAAGCATGGGGGTCCCCCCCAGCCCAATGGGAGATCTGGAGCTTCACCTTCACCGCTTGGGGCTTCAGTTGCAGGTCTGTTACCTACAGCACTGAACTGCCAACCTCACAAAAGTGAGGCCAGACTCCAAGAAACGCACGCAGATGAAAATGCTGTTGTCAACATCAAAAAATGTGGCATTGGGAAGGGTTTTAAAAATCTGCTCAAAAAGCATGTTGCTGGAAATGGGGAGCTTGGGTTTTCAGAGACCTCTCTGTAAAATAGGGATGATAATGGTAAGCTAAGCAGAAGGGTGGAGTAAATAAAACATGTACGTAAAGCTCCAGCAAAGAGCTGCTGATCCTCGCTCGAGGGGGCTCTCAGCAGGCTTGATGTCATCGCACTGACCTCAAGCCTCCACCTGCTCCCCACAGGCAAGCTGGGGCGGGGAGGTCTGGAGGATGCACTGAGGCTGAGCTGGAAACCAGGGTCCCAGGATCAGGAGGGAGCATGCAGTTATTGTTAAGCAATAAATAATAGTGACTAATGTCTCCAGAGAGTGGAGCAGCTGGTGATTAGGCTGTGACCTTTACGGGGCTGGGTTGATTGTCCTATTACTGCAGTGGAGGCCCCAATGCTTGGGGCTGCCCCTGAGGAAGAACCATGGTGGCATGGCACCCGTCTCCCGCCCCACGCTTCCAAGGGCGCCCAGCCTCCCAACTGCCTGCATCTACACGCCACATCTCTCGGTGGATTCTCCCGGAAGTCCTGCGGGGTCAGCAGGGTATAAATTATCATCCCCTCCTATTAGAGAGATGAGAAAACAGGGACCCAGGGAAGAAACGTGACTTGCCCAAGGTCAGGCAGTGAAGGGGGCAGGGGGGCAGACTCCCAGGCCAGGCTCCATCTATTTGCTGCACTGCTTTCTACGGAAGCCCTGCCATCCTGGTGACCACCCTGGGCTCATTTAGAAATGCTCTCTCCAGTGGACACAGAGTCACCAAATTCCTGAGCCTGTGCCAAATCCTCAGCCTTCGGGGCCTCACAGTGGTCCTGGTCCCACCCTCCACTTCCTGGGGCCTCGGGCTTCACTGGTGCTCAAGATCACAGCCCCTCCGCAGGGCACTCACCACCACCACCAGTGCTCCATGTCAGTCTCTACCGGCATCCACACAACAACCCAGGGATGGAGCTTTATTGTCCTGATTTTACAGATGCATCAACTGAGGCCCAGAGAGATTAAGCAGAAGTCCTCTGGTGTGACCCTCCCCAAAGTCCTGAGAGGTCAGGATGACATTCTGATTTTATATGAAGAAACCAAGGCCCAAAGGTCCCCATGCCCTAATCAACAGCAGAGCTGAGATTGGAACCCAGGGCTACGAGTGTGGCCTGCACCTCAGTTGATAGCTTCCTCTCCCAGTGCCTGCTGAGCCCACATCAGTCCACACAGGACCAGGCCAGCAGGTGTCATACTAACCACAGCAGCGTCCCTGTGCAGCAGACCTACTGAGGTGCCACAGTCTTGTCTCACTCAATCTCCCACAGTCCTGTGGGTGGAGGCCGGGGGCGGGTGGCCCTCAATCTGCAGGCTCAGAGCTGAGATACAAAGGCAAGTTGTCTGACACCTACTCTTAACCACCTCAGGGTAAAACTGTGGGATGGCAGGAACAGGCAGTTTCCCCATACCCTGGGGACGTTAGTGCTCAGGGCAGACTAGGGACCAAGTAATTAGTTGCTTGATTTGATTCAGGTGAGAAAACAGCCCAACAGAAGTTAAACAGCAGCCTTAAGCCACTCAGATCTCCTTCCTGGGTTGGGACCTTCCTACAAGACACCACTGCCTCCCTACACAATGCACTGTTTCCCTACCTCTCCTGGATTCGAATGAGCTACACACAGGGATGTTAAGCACCTCCTGGGCTTGCAAAGGGAGGCACCTATCATTGGCCCATTTGTCCCTGTTGCTGGAACTGGAGTAAGGAGTGTGGCTCTGGGGGCCCATGGGTCTTGTCATGTCTCTGTGTCTCTCCTGTGGGACTGTGCATAGCCCAAGGATGGTGAAGGCCACCCCTATCAGACTAGGAGCCCCTCAAAAGCAGGGGCTGTTCCCCCGACACGGGGAGCCCCTGAAAGCAGACAGAATAGTGTAGGAGAAAAAGCAGAGTGGGGCAGATGTCCATAAAATCCTGGATCTGTGATCTGGGGCTGGTGGCTTAACCTCTCCGATGTGACTGTCAACTGGAGCCATAAGCCTGGCCCTGCTGACCTCATGAGGTTGATTAAACAGTGGGAGCAAATGTGTTTCATCTGTCATAAGATGCTGCCCAAGACCTCCTGGGATAGGAGACAGAGCGCTGGACTTAGAGTCAGAATGACGCAGGTTCAAATCTCAGCCCCGCCTCTGCAATTTCTTTGTAGAAAGGACGTAATATCAGAGTACAGGAGACAAACATGAGAGTCACTGGCCTGTGTTCAAGCAAAGATGAGGATAATAAATACCCCTCCCCCCTGGGTGAGTTGGGCCCAGCTCCAGCAGGACTCTCTCCCCTCTACTCTGTCTCCCGTCTGAGGCCACAATCTCCCCCTCTTCCAGGCCCACCCACGGCCTCACCCAGAGGAGGGCACAGGGTTCCCAGTGTTCTCTGCTTCACCACTTAACAAGCTGTCACTTTCCCTGCAAGCCTGGGAAGCCCAGACTAGCACCCCATTTTCCTGGGAGAGGAATCAAGGCTCAGAGAGGTGGAATGACTCTCCAGGGCCCCCTCAGCCAGAGCGTGCCCAGCCCAGAGGCCCTAACCCCTGCCCCACCCAGCCTGGCCCCTCCCTCTCCCTGGATGACTGCAGTGGTTTTTAAAAGCAGGAAGGAGTGGCAATGGGCTGGGTGGGGAGGGAAGGAAATGGAAGAAGACCTTCCCCAGGCCCAGCCCCTCCCACCGCATCCCTAGAGAAGCAAGGAAGCGTGAAAGGGGCCCCTACCCGCTTGATGGGCGTCCAGGTTCTCACAGGGGACGTCGTCATAAATCACATCTTCATCCAGGGCAGGGAAAGTGAACCGGTCGACTGGGAGTGAAAAGGGAGAGGGAAAGGGCAGGGATAAGGCGAGGAGGCTGCCAGGCTGACATCAGGCTGCACCAGCTGGCAGCTCCCTCCTCCAGCATCAGGCCGCCTGGGCCCTGGGGAGCCCCTGCCCCGCCGCCCTTAAGAGGACACTGGTTCCGCTCCTTCTCTCCGCCCCCCAACCCCTCCAAGGCACCCTCCCAGTGACCAGGGCAGGCCCCACCTGCCTCCCTGTCACACATTGGCTGGCCCATCTGGCTGACAGCAGCTGCTGAGGACACCTGCAGGGAGCAGACCCAGCACCCGGGCACATCTTCAGTGGCCCAGGCCCCCCAGCACTACCCTTGAAGGAGGCACCTCCCACCCAGACGCAGAGGAGGGACAACCAGCCCTAGTGAGTAGTGGAAATAGGGGGAGAGAAATGGATTTGGAGAGCGGGGTTAAGAACAGTCCCCCCGAAACCCAGCCAGCAGGGTCCTGATTAATGAAAATTCAGCAAATGAGCACATCCCTCCAGGTCTATGAGGAGAGCGAGGCCTGCCCATGTTAGCAGCCCCCTTGATTCAAAATCTAATGAGATCTCTCCCCAAAACTGTGTGCCCACTCTCTGCCCTCTTTAGAGGCATAGGGCCCTACAGAACAAGGATTTCGAAGGCCAGTCCCCACCCCTGATGGGAGCCTGTCCTTACCCCACAGCCCTCCAGGAAGACATGGGACCTGATGGCCTCTGAAGTCCCCACCATCCTAACTGTGGTGCTTCCAGTTGTCCCAGGGCCCCAGAGCCTCGTCCCAATCCCCTTTTCCTCCCCCCATGGCCTCTGCCTCCCAATGGCTTCAGACCTATCCACCTCCGTCCAGGTTCCTAGCTCCGGGCTCAGCCTCCCTCCTCGCCAGCCTCCTCACTGGACTCCAGCCCACCCCGCCGTGTCTCCTGTCTCGCAGCTACACCCCAACAGTGACTGGACTGAAATGCAATCATGGCTGCATTACTGCTCCCAGTGCCAGGTGTCCCCTCGCCCTTGGGCTCCTGCACGAGCTGCCGGACACTCTTTTGCTGGCCCCTGCTCCCTGGTTCTCCACTTTCAGGACGCATGGGATCTCCCCACTCTGGCACCTGCCCTCTTCATGGGAGTCACCTGCCTGTGTGTCTGGCTCTGCTCCCAGAGGAACTTCGTCTTGGTCACGGGGGCACCCCCACCAACTGCCTCAGAAGTATTCGAGGAACTGATAAATGGATGAATGTGTGGTCCACTCCTGGACCGTGGCTCTCAGGGCAAACGGGCAACTGTCAAGTGTGGGCAGTGGCCAATCCACCTCAGAACTGCCACCCAGCCCACAGCAGCCCAGCCAGTGAGGACCCGTCAGCCCACATCAGCTCTCTCAGCTTAGAGTAGGGGACTCTGAGGCTATCCTGGCACCACCCTCCTGGGGCCAAGACCTAGGCGGGGGACTTACTTCGACGGGAGCTCTTCCGCTTCCAGCTGGAACGCCGGACCCTGGACAAAGCTGTGTCCGTGGCATCTCCATTGCTCACCACAGCTGGCACCCTGCAGGCCAAGACACAGTGCCAGTGAGCCGACAGGGCGGGGGACAGAGCTGATGGCAAGGGAGGCAGGGAAAGCTGGCTCTTGGAGCCTCCAGCAGCACACAGTGCACATGACGGGCAGGGGCAGGCTGAGGACAGGAGCCTCGGGCCCCAAGGCCATTATCGGGAGGCCAAGGAGGCTTCGGACAAGCCCCTTCCTTGTCTTTAGAAGGCACCATGGGCCCACCTGCTGCTCTAAGAGCATAAAGATCACGTGGCACAGGGGTAAGGACCTGGTGCTCCCCAGGCATGGGTACCCGTCTTCCCTCCCGCGCAGGCTCAGTGGGAACCTCCATCTCCCCGCTGTTCCCCCACACGGAGCTGGAGGCCAGGGCTGGGGGACCCGCCTCCTGGGGGACAGGAGGACTTGCAAAGATTCGCAAAACCACGCATGACAGACAAAGCTTCAACCCCTGAGGAATGAAGGACAGGTTACTCTCAGACACCTGCCTCCCAGGAGCAGGCGTGCAGAGGGAAACGGTGCGGGAACAGCAGGCCCCCCCACCCGAGCCAAGCGATCACTAGACCATCTCCAGCGACATCACTCGGACATCATGCGCCCCTGACATGATGTGACATGCGAAGGGCACCTACCTCTGCAGTTTTCTTACCCAAGCCCATAACCCCAGTCCAATCATGAGGAAAATGCCAGACAGACCCAGATTGAGGGACAGTCTACAAAATACCTGCCCATTACTCCTTGACGCTGCCAAGATCATAAAGACCAAGAGAAGGCTGAGAAAGTGTCACAGACCAGAGCAGAGAGAGGAAGGGAGAGGGGGAGAGAGAGAGAAACATCAATGATGAGAGAGTCATCATTGATCGCTGCCTCCTGCACACCCCCTGCTGGGGATCGAGCCCGCAGCCCGGGCATGTGCCCTGACCGGGAATCGAACCTCAATCTCCTGGATCCTAGGTCAATGATGCTCAACTGGTGAGCCACGCTGGCCGGGCTGAAAGTTTTTTGTTGATTTTATTTTTTAAGCCCAGGCTCAAAAAACAAAGGCCACGTTGGCCAATGCAGAAGGGAGGGGCCTCCAGCTGTCCAAGACAGCAGCCACTGTGGCCAAGAACTGCCTTGAACTTCCTGGTACCCGAGCCCTTAGCCCTTGGCCCTTAGCGGAGGACCGGGGGGGGCGGGGAACGGGGGGGAGATGAAAACCAGGACAGTCCAGGGAGAAGGGGGGAGGAATGAGCAGCGCCTCCTGTGAGCGGGCCCCTTGCCTTCACCCTCCCAGCTCTGCAGGCAGCAGGCAGAGGAGCCTGCCCAAGATTATGCTGCCCATGGGGGGCAGAGCCAGACGGCGGAGTCCGCTTGTCTGGCCCCCAAAGCTGGGCTCTTATGGCTGCGTCTCGGGTAACAGCCCAAACAGCTGTGACAATGGAAACGGTCTATGTCTGTGCTGTCCCGTGGGCCTCACATGGCTACCGAGCACTTGGATGTGGCTGGTGGAACTAATGTGACTAAGGAAGGAACTTAATTTTACTTTCAATAGCTATGTGTGGCTAGTGGCCACTGTATAGGACAATGCAGGTCTAAGTCACCTATTAGAGAAGCTGGTCTCAGCTCAAAGTTCACTGCCAGAAGTCAGCAGTGTCACCCTGGGGTAAGGGACACAGTCTTAGGGTAAGGCTTTCCACCGACCGGAAATAAATGCCAAGAGGGGACAGGGCTGGACTGCACCGGTGGGGGGTGCTGGGACCAAGGGAGCCACCTGAGCTCCAATCCCTACCAGTTGCTTCCAGGAGCACCACCTGCTCAAGCAAGAGACATCTAGAAGGTGCTGGATGCAGCTGCTCCAAAATGCTCGGACAGAACCAAACCATTCCAGCCGGAGTCCATGAGGGGGTTTGGCAGAGTCTGGTTGAAAGTTTGCTTTGATGCATTAACCGTGACAATTGGTGACCATTACAATGCCCCTGTGGGGTGCTACTTGCTCTGCTTTGCCTCTGTAAAGGAATGGGCAAAAGCAGGTTTACAGCTGTAATACAAATAAATAATATAATTACTAATCAATAATAACACAAGAATAAATTGTGTTTCAAGTACTCACAACTGTAAACTTACTTTTGCCCACCCCTGTATTTGCATATTTCATTTCACAAGAGGGCATATGAGGTAGATGTTAGCATCCTGGGGCTACAGATGGGGAAACTGAGGCTCGCAGAGACTTAATAACTAACGTCACTCGGTGCATCACAGGGAGATGGGATCTAAAGCAGGCTGTCTGCCTGCAAAGTTTGTGCTCTTTCAACCAGACGCCTCGGAAGTAGGAAACCTGCATTTAAATATCCACTGACATCACAGATTCACTGCAACCTAAGGTCACTGAACCTCGCTAGGCTATTCAGCCATCTTTTTTTTAAAAGGAAGGAGAGAGCATTCAGGATAGAGTCAGGAACACAAGTTCAAGTCTTAGTCCAAAAGAAATCGTAAGCGTTCTAGGTACTTTCGTGGTAGACACTTTGCCATGAACGTTTTCATGACGTAACTAATTGGCTGTAAGGCAATATTGCTGTAAAAAAAGATAAAACAAGTTTGGTTTGTTGTTGCTATTGTTGTTTTGTCTGTCTGGTTGTCAGTCTGGCTTCATTTCTCCATTGACAAACTGGTGGAGAAAATAGCTATAAACAGGAGTGATCTTAAAATAGTTAGCATCTCTTCCAGAGGACAACTTGCCGGGGAGTTGGTTGCTTATTTTGAAACATGCTATATGGGGAGGAGAGAAAAGGAAGGGCCGAGGGCCCTCTTTGAGGTGAACCCACATTTTCCCCATAGAATGAAGACAGGTACTTAGGTACAATCCACAAAATAAAGTCAGTTATTGGCACAGGATTGCCATAAACCTAAACACATTTCAGATGTATTCAAATATTTTGTATTTCACAGTAGCTTTTTAAGTTCTGTTATTCATTTTTAATCTCCCTCTTTTATTTGTCATGATTTTTTCTCTTTTATGGCAAAATTGCCTTACAGCCAATTAGTCATGCAGCAAAAATATCTATGACAAAGATGCCACAATCAAAAAAATACTGGATACAAATCGTACCACCCAGCTCCTAGGCCGCAGTGCAGTTCAACCAGGGAACACGTGAGAAAGTCCCGGGTAAACCCTGAAGGTGGCATCAAGGGCGAGTGGGGATGGGGGATATTTTTGGGTGAGATCAGGCAGCTTTAGAAGGGCTCTGGAAATACTCTATGACACACTGAAAGCCAGGGTGGGGCTGAAAACATGAGCCTCTTGGTTGCACGTTGCCAAAACACAGTGACCTTAATGTTTAATTTTAACTAATTTAAGTTGAAATAGCCACATGTGGCTTGTGGCCACCATACAAGACAACGCAGATCTAAGCCACCTCCTCTATTGGAGAAGCTAGCCTGGGCTCATTTCCATTGAGTCGCCAGCCCAGGTACTGGTCCTGGCTTCCTGGGGTGGGAAATGTGGGTCACACAGCATAGAGAAGTCACCTTCACAACCACTCCCTCGGCCTCAATGGCTGAGGCCAGCAGAGAGACTGGGAGGCCCAAGGGAGGGAAGAGGCCAGCGCCTGTGAGTGGACAGGTCTTCCCAGGATTGCCGGACACCACTACCCACAGCAGCCCTGTACTTTGCTGGTATGTACTCTGTGCCTGGAGAATGTCAAATGCTTGAGGACAAGTGCATGTCTTATTATGACCATTTCACAGATGAGGAGAGTGAGGTTCAGAACAGGCAAGGACCTCGCCCCAAGTCACCTGGCCACAAGCGACAGAGCTGAGGTTTGCCCCCAAACCTTGCTCTGACCCGGGCTCTGCTGCCCCAGGCTTGGGTTCCCCAGGCACATTCAGAGGAAAGGGCCTCCCAGGCAAGGGAAGCGGTGGGTATGGCAAGAAATGAGGCTGGGGTGCCTCCTCCCTCCTTGCTCCTTCCTGCCAAGGCCACTGACCCACCCTGCACCCACCCGGGGGACAGCCTCTCCCAGCTGCTGCCTGGCTGAGAAGTCTAATTTTCCCAGTAAGCAAACACTCTTTCTGGGGACTCCCCAGATAATAAAAGAGCCATAAAAAGCAATAAGAGGCCAATTAGCTCACCCTTATCTGAGCTTCCTGCACTTCTGATGCCTCTCAGCATGCCCAGGAGAGAAAGGTCAGCTGAGATGACAGCAGTCTTACAAGGTGAGGCCCCTGCCACTGGATATAAAGGAAAGGAGCAGAGTCCATGGAGAGGAACTGAGAATGAGAAGCTTGACAAAAAAGAGGAGGCAGGAGACGGACAAAGGACCTCTCCCAGGCACCCAACGACAATGTTCATGGACCGGATTTGGGTCGAGTGCAATAGAAGGCCACCATGGAGCTCAGAGCACTTCTGTGTTCACCTCTTCTCTCTCCAGGAACAAGCCGAGGACAAGAGGGGAGTGAGTGCCCTGTGACAGCAAGGACCTGCTCTGTCCTGGCCGCGCCATTCCATCAGCCCTGGCACACAGTGGACACTCAGTGATGACCGATGCCCTCCCTGGCCTATTTTCTTTTGCAGAGAATGGCAGTGCCCCCAGCCCCTGCTGCCGCAGGCACAGCCCCCAGGTTCTCAGAGAACCTCAATGACAAGAGATTTCACAGGGTCCCTTCCCAGAGCCCACAGAGTGTGAGTGGTCAAGGAGAAGACCCTCAAACCAAACGGGCTGAGGATTCCTATCTGGGCACCCCCACACAGGGCATCCCCGGGGCCTCTTCCAGAACAAGGTATGACTAATACAAAAGGGGGAAAGTTCCACCTTTGGCAAATAGAAAGGACCAGAATAAGCTTTGCCTTATAAGGCCTTGAGTACAACCCGATCTGCAGCACACGGAGGCCTGAGACAGAGGGCTTGCCCAGGATAGCGCTACTCAGAGCATCGCCCGCCACTGAAACTCTCACCACCACCATTTCCACTACCCCTACGTCCAAGAGACACAAAAACGTTAAGCCCAGATCAATCCCACTG